AAAAAACAAAAAAACAAAAAAACAAAAAAACAAAAAAACAAAAAAACTGTCTCCACAGGAGACAGTCTCCAGACATCAACATTGCCCTTACATCTGCCAGCACTTCAATGTGGTCAGGATGCCCCCAAAACAGGAAAGGTCACAGCCCTAAAACAAGAAGGAATCACTCATCCTTTCTCAAGGACCAGACCTCACCCCGTACTCCCAAGGAGACAGTCTCTAAAGACAGATACCACCTTAAAGGCTGCCAGCCCTCAAGTGGGGTCAGGATCCCCCAACAACAAGATATTGCAACCCTGGAATAAAGACTCACTCACCCAGTTTCAAGGGTTCACCCCACATTCTAAAGGAAGCAATCTCCAGGTGCAGTTGCTGCTCCTTCTGCTGACAGACCTTAAATGTGGTCAGGAGCCCCCCAGAAAGTGAAACTACAATCCAGCAGTAAAGAAGAAATCAATGACCCCACTCCAAAAACAAACACTCAGCCCACACCCCAAAGGAAGCAGCCTCCATGCAGAGATGCTGCCCTTACAGCTTCCAGCCCTTAAAAGTGGTCAGAATCCCCAAAAAGGGAAAAACCAGAGCCCTGCAATAAAGCACCGATCACTCACCCCATTCCAAAGGGCAGAACTCACTCCCAATGGTCCCAAGGAGGCAGTTCCCAAGCAGAATGCTGCCCTTACTGTTCCCAGCCCTTAAATATGGGCAGGGAGGGGGTGGAGCCAAGCTCAGCCCTATCCGGTCCCACAGGTAAATTGCTTCCACCTGTGCTGGCAGGGCTGGCCACACCCCTCATCAGGTGCTTCCATCACTGCTTCAGGCTGTAAACAACAAAAAAAACTAATTACAAGCAGGTGATTGGATCTGCCTGTCCGGCAAGGGGAGTTTGATCAAAGGATGAGCAACAATGGCGTGCATATTTTGATTGAAGTCTGTCCTCAAAGGCATTCGGTAAAATTTCTAATAGATAGGGGAGCACAAATTTCAGTACTGATACAGCACACAAAGTTCAGTACTGATACAGAAGATGCTGACAAGCTGTGTGTGCAGCCTGGATGGCAGAGTTGAGATCACCGGTGTGATCGGAGTGAGCGCTGTTTGCCAAACTGGTGGGGACAGCTTGTGGCTCTGTAGTGAGAAACGTGTCGCCTACTTTCTTTGCAATTAAAGCCCATCGTGAAAACAATTCAGGATTTGACATCCTCAGTGGGTGAACCTGGCACCTGCCTGCATGGCAGCTGACATAGGGATGACACTCGGGTGATACTGGGGGGTGACGCTGGGGGATGGTGTTGGGTTATTACTGCAGGGTGACATCAGGGAGTGACATTGCAGTGACATAGTTGGGGTGACACTGGGCTGACCCTGGGATGATGTGGGGGGGTGATCCTGGGGAGTGATGCTGGGGGGTGATGTTGGAGCATCATGGGGGGGAAATCAGGGAGTGATGTTGGAGTGATACTGTTGGGGGAGGTGTAGTGGAAACCCTAAGTCGTGGCTTGAAACAATGATTGAGAAGGGACAAACCATAGAAGCTCAGGTGCATGAAACGCACCTGAGTGATGGAAGGGGGTGGAGCCAGGCTCCACCCCCTCCCGGGTCTCATTTAAGCATTGGCATCAGAAGTGAGGGGCTTTGGCTAGAGGTCTGTGCTTGCATGAGGTCTTCCAAAGGTAAGCAGGTTTTTGTTCTGTTTCTGTGTTTATGGCTGCTGTGTTTGAGCACATCCTCACTTACTACAGCCTGGGACTTTGCTTCTCTGCTATTGTTGTTGCATTTTCCATCATGCTGCAGCGTTACAGTAGGTAATTAATGGTAAGGGTGATGTTGGGGTTTTTTTGCGGGGTAATGTTGTTAGAGTGAAGCTGGGAGGTTACATTGCAATGAGACTAGGATGATGTTGGGGTTTCACTCAAGGATGGCATCAGGGAGTGACATTGGGGTGATACTGGTGGGGGTGCACTGGTGTGACACTGGAGTGATGCTGGGTCGATGTTGTGCAGTCATGCTGTAGGCTGATGTTGAGGGATGAGATAAAGGAGTGATGTTGGGGGGCGGGGGGAAGTTACTGGGGAGATGCTGGGAGGCGATACTCTATGATGTGTCAGTGATGTTGGTGGGTGATGTTGGGGTATCATTGGGGCAGGTATCAGAGAGTGACGCTGGATTAATGTTGATGGAGTGACACAGGGGTGATGGGGATGAAACTGTTGAGTTGACACCGGAGAGGTATTGGAAAATCACTTAGGGTTGACATCAGAGAGCGTCACTGGGATGGACGTGATGACAGTGGAGATGTTGGGGTGATGCTGAAATACTGTTTTTAACCTAAAATATTGCTTATTTTCATAGACATCCCTATTTTCCCCCTGAAACATCGCTTATTTTCATAGAAATCCCTATTTTTCCCCTGAAATATCGCTTATTTTCATAGAAATCCCTGTTTTTCCCCTGAAATATCGCTCATTTTCATAGAAATCCCTGTTTTTCCCCTGAAATATCGCTTATTTTAATAGAAATCCAGTCTGGCACCCTACTGCGTATGCGCCGCGCTGGCACCCTACTGCGCATGCGTTGCCCTCGCACCCTTTTGCGCATGCGCCGAGCTGGCTAGGTACTGCGCATGCGCCATTCTCGCAGCCTGCTGCGCATGTGCCGAGCTGTCACTTTGCTACGCATGCGCCAGTCTGGCACTCTACTGCGCATGTCCCCGCCTGGTACACTACTGCGCATGCGGCAGTTTGTCAGTCTACTGCGCATGCGCCGCTCTGGCACCCTACTGCGCATGAGTCGCAGTGGCACCCTTTTGCGCATGTCCTAGTCTGGCACTCCACTGCGCTTGCGCCGGGCTAGTAGTCTACTGCGCATGCGCCTGACTGGCACCCTACTGCGCATGCGCCCTTCTCGTACCCTGCTGCGCATGTGGCAGTCTGGCACTCCAATGTTGGCACCCTACTGCGCATGCTGCCGCCTGCACCTCCTTTCCGTTAACTTCAGGATTTGTATTACTCGTAGCATTACTTTTATGGCGACTTACTTAGATCTGTGTGGATTATGGTGGCTTATCTGGATTACTTAAAGTGGATTTGGTGGTTAAAGGTATGACCATTTTTACAGGACCTATTATTATAGACGGGCAATGCAGAACATAAACGGCACAGCGACGCTCTGTCGTGCTCTGAAGGGCCGGGACACCCCCCTCCCCCAACCCGGGGGCAGCGCTCTCCCTGTTCTCCTCTGATCACCACCGTCCCCCAAAGCCGCCCCTCCTGCAGTTCCGCGCTTTGGTCACGCAGCCTCACAGCTTGGCTCTTCCTCTTTGGATTCCAGGGGCTGTATTTAATTTGCGAGAGGAAAAAGACGTCGATAATTCGCGACATCCTCTTGTTATCTCAGAGCACCCTGCTATGAAGCAGCAGTGCAGCGGGAATCCACATGTGCTACGGGACTCCATCAGACACTGCAAGGTTGCTGTAGGACTCCATAGGATGCAACAGAGAACCTGCAGGACTGTGGGGCACGCAGGGGCACCCAGGAGCCTCCCCACGATCCCCCAGCAACCCCACAGTAAGCAGACTGGGGGTCCAGTGAGTTGTATTTGCTTGCAGAGCCCCATTTTGGGGGTGAATCCCGGCGTTTTTGGGGGTGAATCCCGGGAAGCTCTTCTGGGTGGGGGTGTGCAGGATGTGCGCGTAATGGCAGCTGGGGATGGAGGCGCAGCGCTGCCAGGGGTCCTGACTGTTTGTGAACCCAACCGAGGTTGCAGCTGAAGATCTTGGGTACTCTCTGGGAGGGTCCAGGTGTGTAGGGGGGGGTCCTGGGTGTTTCAGTGCTGCCCCCCCAGTGATGGCGGGGGGTCTCCCAGGTGGCTGTGAGCCCCTTACCCTTGTATTTGAGGTGGCAATGGGCTATCAGGCGGTCCAGGATCCTGTGCATCTGCTGCAGGCGGCCGGGGCAAAAGGCTTCAGGGCGAGCGCAGTTCTGTATGAACACTGTTCGGGGGGAGTCACAAAGAGTGGGGGCTTTGGGGTCAGGAGGGCAGTGGGGAACTTTGGGGTCGGGGGGGTCAATGGGGGTATTGGAGGTCTTTGGGGTCAATGGGATTGGGGGAACAATGGCGGTTAGTGGGGGTAGGGGGGGCTGTGGGGGCAGTGGGAGGCCTTGGGTTTGAGGGGACAGTAGGGGTCCCTGTGGAGATCCATAGTTAGCCTGACTTCCATGGGGCCATGGGCTTCACAGGCCTAAACAGCAAAAGCAAGGTCTGCTTAGTTACTATGTTTGTTGCTTCTGCTGTGCTAAGGTGGTGGTCACGAGTGGTGATCTTTTACAATAGGGAACCGTACGCTTTGATCAAGAAGAAACACTGGACATAAAAACAAGATGTAAGATTAGATATGGTTGCTTAGGGAGGCCTTGAAACTGTTGAGACTTGTATCCAAGATATACATAATCATATATATGTGTGTGCTGTTGTGTTGTGTGAATATAGTAGACTAATAGTAGATGTAGTAGAAGAAGAAGAATAAAGGACTTTCCTATGACAGAGGCCTCTGGTTGCTGAACTTCAACAACCAACAGTTCTGCTTTAGGACCCACCTTTATGGTTCCCTTCCAGGAAGAGGATAAAGAAAACTTTGCTTCTGCTTGGGAGAAGATACAAAATACCTGTAGCAGATTCCCACAGGTGTGTAAACATTCTGCCATGCTTGTTCCTGCTGTGCTTTTACAAATAGTTTCACTGCCTCAAGATGTGAAATTGTATCGACGTACAGGTGGTATTTTAATTCAAGGGACATCCCCTGACAAGGTGGGGGAAGTGGCAGCAGCACTATGGTGAGCTCTAGATGAATCAGAAATCGAGATTTCACCCGCAAACTGTCAGGTTCTGAGTAAAGAAATAAAACTTCCAGACCGCGAAGACCAGCAAAACTGTGCAAAACAGTGTGCACTTAAGTGCAGAATTTTGCAAACCCCACGTGGACTTCATGGAACCCCAGCAAAGACAAGCAATCCCATACATTCTTCAGCAATCCAAGGAGGAACTTCAGCAATGCAGGGCAAAGACTGGTGAATCTGGATAGAAGAGTAATCAAAAATCACAATAACTACAAAAGAACATGCAAAGCAAGTGATGTGCAATGCAATTGCTCACCACCCACTGATGAATGCCCAGCCGATTCCCGACCAGCAGCAGACTGCCGGTCATCTCCCCCCAGTACGTTATTCAGCGTGAGGACATCGAGGACGGGACATCCCTTTGGCCAGCATCGTCCCGCTTCTGTCCCCTTGCTGCCAAGGCTGAGGAGGAGCCCAGCTTCTACCGCTGCTCGGGGTGGATGTGACGCATGACGGCCGACCTACTCGAGCACCCGCTGCCCCCGTCACCCCTTCCGCAGCACATCTTCGCTATGAGCCGCGTCTCCACTGCGCCGGCGGAACGGGGAACCGTTAGCACTCTTCTGACCCCTTCTATGCCCCTGTACTCCAGAATACCAGAGGTCAGCCTCGGGTCTCTCCTGAGGCTCTTTGCCACAACCTCCAAGTGGGACCTTTCTCTCCAGTAGCAGCTTAGAGGATGTTCTTTACATTCTGTCCCATCCGTACTGGCCCTAGGGCCACAGCACAGGCTATCTCTTTTTTTAATCTGCTCAAAAGCCTGCTGCTGTTCTATAGTTCGGGATGTGCATTCTCCAAAAGCCCACTACACCCAGAAAAGATTGTGTCTCTTTCTTGCTAGTGGATGGAGACATAATGGTGATTTTGTTGATCACATCTCCTGGGATGTGATGATGCCCATCTTGCCATTTTACTCCTAGGAACTGAATTTCTTGGGCAGGTCCTTTCACTTTGTTTTGCTTAATAGCAAAACCAGCACGCAGAAGAATTTGGATTATTTGCACTCCTTTCTTAAAAACTTTCTCTGCTGTATCACCCCACACCACCATGTCATCGATGTACTGCAGGTGCTCAGGAGCACCTCCCTGTTCCAATGTGGTTTGAATCAACCCATGGCAAATGGTCAGGCTGTGTTTCCACCCCTGCTCAGTGCCCCTCAGAGCCGCTCACAGAATGGCCCGGGTTAGAAGGAACCTCAAGGATCATCAAGCTTCAACCCCCCTGCCATAGCCAGGGCCAACCTCCACATATAATACTAGACCATCTAGTCAAGGCTCCATCTAGTCTGGCCTTGAACACATCCAGGGATGGGGCATCCACAGCCTCTCTGGGCAGCCTGTTCAGCACCTCACCACCCTCATAGTAAAGAACTTCCCCCTGACATCCAACCTAAATCTTCCCTCCCTCAAAACCATTTCCCCTTGTCCTGCTGTTATATACTCTTGTAAAGAGTTGACTCCCCTCCTGTTTATAGGCTCCCTTTAGGTACTGAAAGGCTGCAATGAGGTCACCCACAGCCTTCTTTTCTCCAGGCTGAACAAGCCCAACTCCCTCAGCCTGTCTTCTTATGGGAAGTGCTCCAGCCCTCTTATCATCTTTGTGGCTCTTCTCTGAACCCTCTCCAACAGCTCTCTGTCTTTCTTGTATTAGGGGCTCCAGACCTGGACACAGTACTCCAGATGGGGCCCCACAAGAGCAGAGTAGAGGGGGACAATCACCTCCCTTCCCTGCTGGCCACCCCTCTTCTATTGGAACCCAGGATACCATTTGCTTTCCGAGCTGCAAGAGCACACTGCTGGCTCATATTCAGTTTTTCATCCATCTGGACCCTGAGGACCTTCTCTGCAGGGTTGCTCTCAAAGACTGCTCCTTTCAGTCTGTATAGATGCCTAGGATTCCTCCGGTCCAAATGCGAAACCTTGTACTTTGCTGTGTTGAACCTCATTAGGTTCACCCGGGCCCACCTGTCAAGTCTGTTGAGGTCCCTCTGAATGGCATCCCTTCCTTCCACCGTGTCGACCGCACCACTCAGCTTGGTGTCATCAGCAAATTGCTGAGGGTGTACTTGATTCTGTAAAGATATTAAAGAGCACCGATCCCAAGACAGACCCCTGGGGGATGCCGCTTGTTACCGGCCTCCACCTGGACATAGAACCATTAATCACCACCCTCTGTCTGCAGCTTTTCAACCAATTTCTTATCCATTGGGTGGACCACCCATTAAATCCACATCCCTCATAGCCCCCCAGTACCCCCCAGAGTCCCTCAGATCCCGTTAGTGCCCCCCAGTGACCTGAGTACCTCTCAGAGCCCCCTAGTTCCGCTCAATGCCATTCAGAGCCCCCCAGTGGCCTCCTGAGCCCCCCATGCCCCTCAGAGAACCTCATTATCCCTCACAGCCCCCCCAGTGCCCCTCATAGCCCCCCAGTGCTCCCAGAGCCCCCCAGTGCCCATCAGAGTCTCCCAGTGCTCCCCAGTGCCTCCAAAACCCCTGGTTCCCCCCAGTGCCCTTCAGAGTCCCCTGGTTCCCCCCGTGTTCCCCAGTGCACCCTAGTGCCCCTCAAAGCCCCCCACTGCCCCCCCCAAAATATGATGTTTTCTCCCCCAAAATACCATTTTTCTCCCCAAAATTTGACATTTTCTCCCTAAAATATAACATTTTCTCCCCCAAATACTGCTTTTTCCTCTCAAAATGATATTTTTTTCCCCAAAATGATTCTATGATTCTATGGAAGCTTTTATTTCTCCTGTTCCCTAAGAACCTCAAGAGCACTGCAATTTTCACAAGACTGAAGCTGAACTCACCATTCTCTGAAGGTTTTGGCGTCTTTGGATGAGGTGCAGTGCTGCTTATGGACACCCTGCTGCAGGCCTGCAGATGGCACTGGGGAGGAGGAGAAAGGTGGAATTCTGTCCAATATCCGTCGCTAGGTTGCCAAGCTTTGAGCATTTTGTGTACAGTTGCAGCCCCTCCTCACCGTTTTTTTTTTTTTTTCCCAATTTTAATGGAATATTTATTTCCCAGACTGGTTGAGGCCTGTTGCTTCTGTCTCATTCTGCCTTTTCCATGGAGGTGCCAGCAGCCCCAACGCACAGACCAACCCTGCACTTCAGGAGCAGGCGAGATGTGGAGCTGTTGCTATTATGACATTAAGAAGCCAAACTTAATCCCAGCATTTAGAAAATAAATGTCACCAGCCGCCAGCACGCTCCAGCGCGGGCACGGCCCCCCTCTGACAGGCTCCCGGCCACCTCTGACGGAACCGCGCTGCCTGCTGGGAGTTGTAGTCTGCGCTGCGGCGGGGAGACGCGAGGAGGCAGTAGCAGGAACTACAACTCCCAGGATGCAGCGCGGCGGCGTCAGCCCTGCGGGCCGCCATTACAGCCCGCCCTCTCTACTCACAGGGCTGCTCTGCCGCGCTGCGGGGGTGAAGCTGCCGTCTCGGCGGGCCGTGCGAGGACGTCATAGGTCCGGGGGAGCAGCCGGGCCTTCCTGTGACGGCCATTTCCTGCTCGCCCCGGGGCCGGCGGGGGGCGGTGGCGGTCTCGCTCTCGCTCCCTGACGGGCTCGGCGGGCAGTGATGTGGGCCCCGGGCCCTGGCGACAGGCGGCCCCCGCCGTGAGGATCTGGGGGGCTGCGACAGGCTGGGCCCTGTGCGGGGCGCATGGAGGCGCCCCCCGCCTGCAGAGAGGTACCGCCCGGGGGGGGGGGGGGGGAAGCAAACCCTGAGAGGGCTGCGGGGCCGCGGGAATAACCGGTTGTCCCCCTCCCCCTTCCGCGGTTTTGCAGGTGTGACCCCCGCTCCTCGTGCGGCCTTCGGAGCCGCCCCGGCCTGGAGAAGAATTGGGGCGCGGGGCCTTCGGCAGAGCATCGCCCCCGGAGCTTTCTCAGCTAACTGCTGAGAGATGAAGAAGTTCTTCGACTCGCGCCGGGAACAGGGCGGCTCTGGGCCCGGTTCGGGCACCAGCGGCGGCGGCGGCGGCAGCGGAGGGCCCGGCAGCGGTTACATCGGCAGAGTGTTCGGCATCGGCCGCCGCCAGGTGACGGTGGACGAGGTGCTGGCGGAAGGTGAGAGCCCGCAGAGCTCTATCCCTCCCCGTTGGCAGGGATGGCAGGCTTTGGCCTTGCCTCCGTGCTCTTCTCTGTCCCTGCTCCCCTTGCATCTCCTTGTCCTTGGCGGTGGTATCCGCAGCTGGTGGCATTCCTGCTTTTCTTAAGTGTGGCTTCGGTGTAGGTCTTGTTTTTTAAGTACTTTAGGAACTGCTGGGCTGTCAGGAGTTTCCTACCTTTCCCTTTACTCATCTTTTTGCTTGGAGGAGGAGATACTGTAAATGAAGTCCACAGTGGTCTTTCCTTGAACTTCATTCAGCCCAAGTCCTTTGGAATTTACATAGGGGTAAATTTCCTGTGCATATTTGTCAGACAGAAAAGTTGGGTAGGGCTGGCTGCAGTTTGTGGGGGACTGCTGTTTGCCTGTGTTTTTAGGAGAAAATAGAGATCCCAACTGCATTTTCTTTAAAATAAGACAGTGACAGAACTGAGAATGAGCAGTAGGGGTTATAAAACCCTGGATGTGTGCAGTCCTTGCGGTGCAGCAAGCTGCTGCTGGTGGTTTTGTTTGTTTGTAACCGATGCTGCAGATTTTACTGTCATTTTAGATTCTATTCGTATGGACCATAGGGGATCTTATTAATGTCTTTGGCTGCCAACCTTAGCATTAACCTTCAGAAAGATGTTGGTCTTCTTAGACCTGCTCAGCATCCTTTGCAGTTTCAGCTCAAAGTGGTGTTTTGTTTTGATCTTGTAACTGTGGAAGTGAGGTGGCTTCTCGATGGGAACCGAGTGGGAGGACCTGCGTTGGCTTTTACAGAAAGAGCCCCAAAATGGAAAAAGAACTCTGTATGTGCTGTAGGCGTACAGGTTTGTGAAAGTCACCTCAGTGTAGATGAAAATAAATCTGTGACCATCTTTTGGGTAGGTTCTGGTGTTTGCTGAGCTGAGAAGAGCATTAAGCCCAACTTTTAAATTACAATGGTTTCTTTTCCTGACTTGAAAATTGCAATGTGAATTTGCCTTGGTTGATACTTCTATGGCCACTTTGGCCCTGGAAGCTTTGGTGCTAGATGGGTTAAGTCTGAGACACTGTCACAATGTTGGTGGTTGTGGTGCTGTGTTTTTTCTTATTTTTTTTAATGCAGATTGGCCTCATCCTGCTTATGTGGGGAAGCAGAGGCTTTTTTTGCTGATGAATAATCTGTTGGCAGGTTCTGCCTGGGTGCTGGCAGCACTGGGAGGTGAGACTGCCTGTCCCTGGGCTCTGTGCTGTTTGGCGTGCCTGACCCACAGCCACCAGAGGTGTGGGTGATAGCACAGACTGTGTGGGCGAAGACAACTGTGGAGACATCATGAAGGAACTGCTGCTTGTGGGGGATTTCCCTATGACTCTTGGGTCCATGCCTGGCCTCTGGGGCTGCAAGATCTGCTTGTACAGGTCAAGCAAAGTATAACAGGCCTGGAAAATAGGTACTGTATTCTCCTTTCCTGACCATGCTCTAAGGCAAAGCACTTTTTATTTTTTATTTCAGCAGCCCCCTAAAGAAAATGTGCTGAGCAGTTATTTTCTACGCAGCGTGGCTATTGAAAGGTAGGTCATCTCAGGGGACAACATAGGTCATAAGTGCTGCAGCTTTGCATACCTCTGGCCTTTTGGATAGCTGTCTGTGCTCCCTGAGTGCTTGTAAAATACATTTTTTTTCACTGACTCAGCTGGGGAGCTGTGAATTCTCAGCTGAAGAACTGTTCTGTGCATACAGTGAATTTTGGTGGTTCAGCAATATTGAAAAGGCAACTTGTGAAGTCATGGTTATTGCTGCTAAAAGGAAATTTCCTCTGGGAAACACTTCTGAGGATGAGGAGGAAACATCTTCTCTGGGAAGAATACATCTCACATGCCCATTGCTTTAGAAAGGAGAGGAGGGACCCATATTTTGGTGCAGCAGTAAAGCACAGAGAGTAAACAAGGTGTAACAGCAGCTAAAAGAGGGAGTCTCTGAAGTGACGGATGATGTAGTGGAGAGTAAGTCACAAGCCTGAGGAACTGGTTGAACTAGAACTTTTGGCATTAAAGTGTTGGGTTTTACCACTGTCAAAGATGTGACTGGTCGTGTTAATTGTGCTGAGCAATTGTGTTGAAGAGTAGTGCTCCTGGGCCAGGCTGAGGGTCCTCAATGCGGCACCGTGTCATGCCAGATGGCAGACATCTGCATATGTTCTTAGTCTTTTGGCGTAGATCCCCAAAATATCCAGTGCAGTTAGGGGCACATTCACCCCCTGTCTGGATCCTTGCTTTCTTGGGTAATGAGGAACAAGTCAAGGTCCTTCCTTCTGGAAGGAATCAGATGGGGATAATACAGATTGAGCAGTTGTTTGTCTGTGGTGATATAATGCAGTTGAATTGTCAGGTTTCTTTTTCCCAGTTTCTTTATATTGTGTTTCGGTAGGTGATTCTTGGTTGGGTCTTTGTATTCACTTCCCTCTAATCCACTTAAAAGCATGAATAATATCTTGAAAGTTTCCTCTCAAAGTCTTCCAGAGGACTAATAACCGGGAGCTCAGTGCTGCTGGCCTTGGAGCTTTGCAAGGCCATGAAGCATCACCAGGGCTCCGGGAGGGCTGAAGGGGTTGTTAACTGATATCAGTGTGACTTGTTTCACCCAGCTGTGAGGTGAATGCCCAGGAGGCACCTGAATGTGGGATTGGGGGGGGTTAAAATAAATTTGTCAGGTGTGTTATTACACAGGTTTTAAGGAAGTGGCAAAGGCTTTGTCATTGCCTTCTTTAGTAGATCTGTAGTTCTTAGTGCTCGTGAAGAGCTTGTTGAGTGTGTGAATGCGCAAATTATGTCTGATGGGGAAGGTGACCCCCTGAGCTGTCTGTATGTGTGCCTGGGCTGATTACAGAGGACTTGTACTGGCTGCTGCCTGCCTTACCCCTAGTGTTCCCTTTCCCTGGACTTACTGTGATACGCAGCATCACATTATGAAGTCATCATCCTCCTTTTACAATAACTCTGACTTTCAATGAACTCCATCTCAGATAAGTCTTGCAGATTTACATGATCCTCAACCAATTCCAGAGTGGCTGGGTTCAAAGTATCACTTCTGTTGTTTGTTTTGTCAGTTATTGCCTTCTGCTTTCTGTCAGGGGCCAACTACCAGTCAGCTGACCACTAGCATTTGGATTAGGAGTTAACTATTTCTCCTCTTGGAATGGGACATGTGGTTTTTCTTTTTATACTTCTGCCCTTGCTCTTTTTTGTGTACCATGTAAAGCAATGCTGAGCTCTGCGTTGGTGGATGGGGTACTGGCTTCTCTGTCTTTTAGTAGTCTGTGGTTTTTTGACTGTACCAGCCAGGCAAACTGATGAAGAATCCCAAGTTACTGAGCAAATGTTGAGGTATCCCAGGTACACCCACAGTGTTCTTGTTGTGCTGTGGGCCTTCTCTTTGCTTAGGAGCTGCCAGCAGTTGAAGAGAGCAGGTGCTGGGTTATAAATGTGCTGAAGACAAGCTGGAATCCACTGCGGGGTTAGCACTTGCTGCCTTCCAAGCTCCCACACCTGCATTAATCATGGCTAACAGGGGTCAGAACTGATTAGGTGATTAGGTGTACTGGTTAGGTACATTTGCATTGAGCGTGGAAGCTGCTTCCTTTGAAGTTGTGTTTTGTTTTTATTTTTTGTTTCATTTTGTTTTTTTTTTCAGTGAAAATGCGGACTTGGACAAACTGTACCCACTGGAATAGCAGCTTGCCAACAGCAGGACTTGCTGCTGCTTTGGAAAATCACAAATGATTTGGTTTGTACTAAGCAAGTTTTTACTCATGTTTCCCGTGCGGAAGGAGATGGGAAGCCTCTGAGCAGAAACATGCTGTTAGCAAGCTGAACTTACAGAGCAGCTCTTGTCTGGTAACAAGAGGTGACTTGGGTGGATAACCTTCCCGGGAAAGTATGCTTTCATTCTTGGGTGGGGATAAGTGTGAGATATCCTTGTGAGAATAACAAGTGAAATCAGATCCCATTGCTGTGCTTCTTTGAAAACAGGAACAATGCTGATAACTATTCACGAGCATGAGGAAAAAACTCTGAAAGGCTTAAGGGAAACACTGCTATAAGATAACTGTCTCTTTGGTGGTTTTTTGTTTTTTTTTTTAATGATTGTGGTAACTTTCCCTTTTCTCCTC